AATCCCGTCTACTCCATTCTTCTCCTGAGATCTTGGGCACACGTATACAATGTGCCTGGCATGATTTTCAAGCCACCAGGTCTGAGACTCAAACTGCAGTCAGCCTTGTGGGAGTCTAGTGATGTAACCTCTACGCCATCTGCTGGCCCCCATGAGCTGTTTAGATCAACATGTTTTCCAGTTAACAAAAAATTAGTACTTTTTTTTTTTTTTTTTTTTTTTTAAGTTTGCTATGGAGTGCATGCATTTGCTGGGCAGAGAAAGAGCAAGCGAGCGAGAAATCAGCCCCAGGGGGAATGGTCATGCCACAATCCTTTCTCCTCCATTCTTCTCTCTAGATTTTGGGCATGCACCCACGTACACCCTGCATGATTTTCTAGCCTGAGTCTAGGACTTGAACTGCTCAATTGGCCATGTGAGACTCAGCCTTCTTAACCTTCATGCCACCTGCTTACCTAAAAAATTAGTACTCTTAAGTGGTAGGAAAAATTTTAGTTGAAATTTTATATGTAATGTCCTTGGTTTTCTAAACAATGTACTGAATACATCTTTCCTTGATGAGCTTTATTAATTCAATAGTATACATATCATTTATTTGAAGTATTGAAAATGGATGCAAATACAGAAGCACATGCGATATGACAAGTCAGATGGTCACTGCCCCCATGAGCTTTGAATTTAGTTTTTAAGGAAGGTGCTCTGATAACAGCTTCTCTTAACTTCTAAGGTTTCTCTCTATAGTGAGCTTGCATGGGTATTTATTTTCTTAGGCCAGTTCTCCTAGAATCACTATGAAGAGAAGGACCTAAGTGCTTTTGTTTAGACTGTCCTGTCCCTGTGCTTGTCTGCTTCAAGCCCCGAACTAATACTTGTTTTACCTTTCTCATTTGAAAATTTTGTTTATTTTTTTTTTGCTGGTGGCACATGTACTTGTTAGAGAGAGAGAGAGGGGATCCCCCACACACACATGGGATGTGGTCACACCACAGTCCTTTCTCCTCCACTTCTCAGGATTTAGGGTACACATGCACATGTACCTGGCATGTTTTTCAAGCCCCTAGGTCTGAGATTTGAACTATAGGCCTTCATGAAGGATCCAGTCTCCTATGACCAGGGCTTAACCACTGCCCTATGGAACTGACTCTGTTTTAACTTTCAATGTTAGGACAGTTGACCCTTGTATTTTTGCAGGTTGCCCAGCCATAGATTCTTCACCTTTGTATTCATTCAGCCACATATGGAAAATATCTGGGAAAAAAATAACAAATAAACCCAATCCAATATAGCATATTTACATAGCCTTTACACATTATATTACCTATTATAAGTAATCTAGAGATGATTTAAAATATACCAGAAAATAAGTGTTGGTTATATGCAAATTCTAAACAATTTTATATGAGATTCTTGAGCATCCTCGAGTTTTGGTATCCGTGGGGGGTCCTACAGTCCCCATGGATACTCAGGACAACTATAGCTTTTTGTTATTTAACATGCTCTCTCTGTTGTCTAGGTTGTTTTGTTTATTTGTTTGCTTTGACTTGCTCAATTGCGTGTAAATTAACTGTGCCCGATACAGCAGCATGTCTATTACTATGGCTGTTCTGGTAACCAGTAAATGCACCTCCCATAGGCGGGCCGACTTGGTCTCTGCATCTAGTGCGCTTAGGGCCAGCAGGCTGTCGCACCCTCACTTCTACTTCCTGGTGTTTATTGCTTTCAGCTGTTGCGAACTGTGCTTTTCTATCCTATTCTTTCTCTTCTCCTGTCAACCTGTTGCCTCTTACATGCCAGAGTTCATGTGGAAAGTCTGAGCTTTTACAAACATCATCGTTCAGTCAACCCCATTTTCCCTGTGGAGACCTGGCCGCTGGAACAGCTGAGTTGGATCTTAAGGCATTTCAGCCGTTCTTGTGGTATCATTCACAAAAGGAGTTTGTGAGTCTCCTCTTCTCTCCACTCCAGCAACCACCCCGCATGTTTCTATATCTGGAACTATTTGGACATAAGGTATCCAGAAAGTTGTGGTTTTGTTTCATTAATATTTTAAATTCACTTCAATCTATGGAGATTAATAAGTGCCTGTGCTGTAAAGTCGATTCTGAATGGGTTGATTTAACTCCTGCAGTCTTATATAAAACTTTATTAATTATGGCGTGGGGCAGCCAAGTGGTTGTAGTGGTTAAGGCTGTTGACTCCAATATGGCTGATCATGGTTTAAGTCCAGGACCTGGTGGCTTGAAAATCATGCCAAGTATGTGTGCACACGTGCCCAAAATCCTAGAAGGAGAATGGACGAGAAGGGATTGCAGTGTGGCCATCTCTCCAGTGTGTGATTTCTCACTTGCCCTCTCACTTTGGTTTCTCTGTCTCTCTCTGAAAAGCTCATGTGTCCGATGGCAGAAACCTTAAAAATCAAACAAAACAAAACCTTTGTGAATCATGTATACATACTGCTTGAAAGATCCAATTAAAATTATTTTATACTTATGTAAGTCCATAAGTGAGATGAAGAACTGAAAGGATTCCATTTCTTTTTTGAGAAGAATTTACTATTTCACTTGTTGTTTCTCACTAACATTATGTCATTTTGTTTCTGATTTTTTTGAGAGTGACCCCAAAGATACATATGCCCTAAATGTATAAAGTATGTCAGAAGCTTGATCTTTCTAAAGATTTTTACATCATTTTATAGGACTGAATAAATATAGTCGGGGGGGGACTTTTATAAAATCAAAGCAACATTTTTTTTTTCCTGCTTCGTGAAGGTTGCTATTGAAGAAATCTGGTTGCAGAACGCCACGGATTGAGTTGGAAGAGATGGGACCGTCGCTGGATCTGGTTCTCAGGAGGACACACCTGGCATCAGATGACCTCTATAAGTTATCTATGAAAATGCCAAAAGCTCTCAAGGTACATGACCTTATAGCTTGGGGCTGTATTTGTCTATTTCACTCTTCTGTCTAAGAAAGATTTGCGGCCTATTATATAAGGGACAACCCTAAAGCAATGAGTAAGGTAGATAAGACTATATTCTTAGAGCCAAGAAAAGGAGGAAGAATCAAACAAGCCAACTCTAAAGGCTGATTCAAAGAATTGAAGAAACCAGATGTCAAGTTTGAGAGCTTTCCAAATACCCAAGACTGCCATTTTTAGCAAAAATGAGGATTGTTTTGGGCTTCACGAAGATTGGGAATTTAGAGCACAGGTTTTATGGATCATGGGTGCATAAAATATGTTATGTTTTTAGTGGCTTTAAAAAACAGGTAGAAATGTTATCTCTGGAATATCCGTGGAGATGGAAATGACAGACATAATTTCTTAAGCTAAGCACAGGAAATTCTCTTGACGCTTGACAGTGGTGAGTATAGTCCACTCTGTTCAGAGTGTGGTTCGATAGTTTATCTGGGAAGTGTTCGAAATGCAGGCTATCTGACCCCACCCTATACTTACTGAACTAAAACCTGCATTTTAACACAATCCAGATGATTTGTATGCACACCTAATTTTGAGAAGAAAGGTGTATAGTGCTGTACACTCTTTGCCATTGAGGGGATGCTCACCAAAGGAAGTAGTTACTCAGTGGTTGAAGATTAGATTCGTACCAGTTCATGACAGTATGAGGTCATTCATTATGTATCTATATACTTATTTCATAGCCAAAGAAGAAGAAGAATATCTCTCATGATACTTTTGGTACAACTTACGGAAGGATTCATATGCAGAAGCAAGACCTGAGCAAGCTGCAAACCAGAAAGATGAAGGGGTTGAAGAAACGGCCTGCAGAAAGAATACCAGAAGACCCGGAGAAAAGATCAAAGAGAATTAAAAAAAATTGATGGAACTTAGCTGACAACTATAGTTTTATTGTTTTCTGTTTACTTAAGACAGCATCAAGCTTTAGTCCAGAGTTTTATAAGATTTTATTGTATATTTTTTAAAAAACATAATTTACTACATGTTATTATGAACAGTAATGTCCAGTATTAAGTTTAAGATAAGCCTCCTACTTGAAATACTACATCCTGGTGTGCCGTTTTCTCTCTGATATGATAAACTCCACTCTCCTGAAACTCTTCTCTGTCACAGGGTGAGTGAATGAAGAGGGATCTCTATAACTATTGGAGTTTTCAGAAAATCTTTGGAGAAAGCCATGGAAAGGAGAAAAGACCTAGAGAATCTATGTATACACTCTTTATGACCTCCCTGAGAGTTAATCCTATCTTCCAACATGTATCTACAAGCTGATTTTTCTTATTTTGTTTTAGTTTTTGCTACAGGGCGTGTGTGCTCTCCAGAGAAGGTTGGAGGGATGGGAAGGAAATAAGAAATCACTCCCCAGGGGGTATGGCCACACTACAGTCCCTTCTTCATTCTCCCTTTGGGATTTTGGGCATGTACCCACATGCACCTGATGTAATTTTCAAGCCACTGATTCTGGGACTTAAATGTCCATGTGACATCCAGCTGCCTTCACCACACCATCAACTGGCCCTTTTCTTTAACCTTTTATTTGTTTGTTTGTTTTTAAGATTTATTTAATTTTATTATCATTATTCTTCAGTTTGACCAGAGAGAGAGAGAGAGAAAGCAAACCGCCAGGTCTGGGACTTGAACTATGATCAGCTATGTGGGAGTCCAGCACCCTAACTACCATGCCACCTGCCAGCCCCTTATCTTTTTAACTTTTAAGTAGTTCTCTTTTTGTCATAATCTTTCTACTATAAGCCTCTCAGCTGGGACAATAGATATATGTCATCATTAAATCACCCTCCGGGGAATGGCCACGCCACAATCCTTTCTCCTCCATTCTCCTCTTGGGATCTTGGGCATGCATGCAAATCCACCCAGTGTGAGTTTTAAGCCGCTGAGTCTGGCGAACCATATACATGAGAGTCCAGCGACATAACCATTACACCATCTGCCAAGTCCTAAGATCTCTTTTTTAAGGGATTTCCACTATCTGATCATTGACATATGACCTTGCTGATTATTTTAAGTGATTCTGCTACTAAATTAAGCCCACCCCACTTCTTTGAGAGAAAGTAAATATTGATAGGGGTAGAAATTAGAAAGTAGAGACGGTAAGTTTTACAACACTGGTGCTTTAGGTAGCTCAGTTACTTAAAGGCCGTAGGTGTTTGCAGATGGAGTTAGGAATAAGCCAAAAGCTAACTGCTGGTTTTGAAAGTTTATTAAAGAGAGGCCCTGTGCCTAGAAAAACAGGAAAAAGTTTTTTACTTCCTCCTACTAGTGCAGTATAAATTCCTTTATTGAGTCCTTAGCAAAGAAGCTCAGGATTTTGTGCACACGTGTACAGACAACCAATTTTTTTTTCTTTTTTTTCTTTTTTTTTTTTTTTGAGAGGTTTTTGTTATAGGGCGCGTGTGCTAGCCAGAAAGACAGAGATAGAGAGACAGAAAGTGAGAAATCACCCCCCAGGGGGGATGGCCACGCCACAATCCCTTCTCCATTCTCTTGGGATCTTGGGCACGCACACACACGCGGCGTGAGTTTAAGCCACCGGGTTTGTCATTCAAACTGCAGTCAACTACATGGGAGTCCAGCGGCATAGCTATTATGCCAACTGCTAGTCCCAGACAACCAGTGTTTTTCAAGCTGCTAGGTCTGGGACTCGAACAATGCTGTCAACCATGTGGGATCCAGCTATCTTAATCACTGTGCCACTGGCTAATCTAAAAATAATCTTTTAAAAAAGGAAATACAGGGAACCAGCAGTCGGCATAATGGTTATGTCATTGAACTCCCATGCAGTTGACCGCGATTCAAGTCCCAAACCTGGTGGCTTAAACTCACACCAGGCACATGCATGTGCGTGCCCAAGATCGCAAGAGGAGAATGGAGGAGAAGGGATTGCAGCACGGCCATCCCCCCTGGGGGGTGATTTCTTGCTTTTTGTCTTTCTGTCTTTCCGGCAAGCACACACGCTCTATAGCAAAAACCTCTCAAATAAACAAGAAAGGAGGGCCAGCAGGTGGCATAGTGGTTAAAGTGTTGGAATTCCCACATGGCTGGCCATGGTTTGAGTCCTTTACCTGGTGGCTTGCTTTCTCACTTTCCCTCTCTCTCTCTGTCTTTCTCTGGCAAAATTCATGTGAAAAATAATATTAGCAATAATAATAAATAATTCTTTAAAAAAACAAACAGAACAGCAAACAGGACTAGCAGATGGTGTAATGATTCCACTGGTGGACTCTCACATAGTCGACTGCTGTTCAAGTCCCAGATCCAGTGGCTTGAAACTCATGCCAGCACGTGTGTGTGCATGCCCAAGATCCCAAGAGGAGAATGGAATAGAGGGGATTGCAGCATGGTCATCTCCTCAAGGGCGATTTCTCACTGTCTGTCTCTGGTGAACACTCATACCCTATAGCAAAAAATCTCTCTTAAAAAAAAAAAAAAGAAATAAGTGGACCAGCTGATGGCATGGTGGTTAAAGTAGCTGGATTCCTTGCGACCGACAGTATGGACCCAGTGGCATGGAAAACATGCCAGACACCTATGTGTGCTTGCCCCAAGCCCCCAGAGAACAATGGAGGAGAAAAGAGTGCAGCTTGGCTATCCTCCTGGTGAAAAGTGCTTTCTGGGGCCGGCAGGTGGGGTGGTGGGAGGGTGCTGGACTCCCACATGGCCAACAACAGTTCAAGTCCCGGACCTGGTGGCTTGCTTTCTCTCTCTCTCTGTCCCTCTCTGGTCAAATTTAAATAAATAAAATTAAGTTCAATAAAAAAAAACCTCTCTTTAAAAAAAGAAAGTGCTTTTTCACTTTTCCTGTCTCTCAGCCTGTCTGACTGGCAAGTGTATGTGCTCTATAGCAAATTGAAATATAAATTAATAGGGAGCAATTTGGTTTTAAAAAATAGAAAATGAATTACTTTTCCTTCTCAGGTTGTAGAAACTGAGCTGCCCAAAAGAGTACTGGCTGCCTGCATGGTCTTTCCTTGTCTTGAAGGGTTTCATCTGGACTAGAGATGAAGCTACAAGGCAGTGGGCAGAGTCAAAACCAAGGAAGGCACAGGACAGATTCCAGTTGCCTTTCACCTGAGGGGGTTCTTTCACCTTCACCATGGATGTTTGTCCAGTATAGCGGTCAGGTGTTCCTGGCTGGATGTACCTCCTCAAGATTTTCTTCATCTGCTGTGCTCCCAGCTATAGGTCGCTTGCTCTTCTAAGTTCTTTCTAGTTGCTAGCTCATAATTTCTCACTTAGTGGGACCAGCAGATGATGTAATGGTTATGTCCCTGAACTCTCACATGGCCAAGCCAGGTTCGAGTCCCGAACCTGGTGGCTTGAAACACCGGGTTTGTGGCATGGCCATCCCCTATGGGGAGAGGGAGATTTCTTGCTTTCTGTCTTTCTCTGTCTCTCCAGCAAGCACATGTGCCCTATAGCAAAAATCTCTCTTAAAAAATAATTTCTCACTTAGCTCCTATACTCCTTCCATTTGTTTATGTATTTTATGAGAGAGAGACAGGTCTCATATCCCAGTCCCCCGTTATGGTCATGGGCATGCAGGTAGGTGTAAACCCAAGACGTGTGAGTCAGCCTAGGATCTTTCATATGGCTTCCCAGCATTGTACAGCAGTGTGCTATAGCCACGCCACCACGCTGGTCCTGGGAATTTCCACCTTCATTTTCTACTTGTAGGTTTTTCCCTGCTTGTGCTAAATGTCCTTAGCCCCTACTTCCTGCCCTGAAGTCTCCTGCCTCCTGGGTGTCTTCCAGAAAACATCTAAGATAAATTAAACGGGTTTGAAGTGAACGTGTGGTTCCTCTGCCAAACCTGCTGCCTACCTTGTACTCTCTGTTCATAGCACTACCACCCACCTAGTTGCCTAGCCAGGAGTTCATCTTGACACTCTTCTTCACTGTTCCCTGCCAGTTTTCTCTGCACCCTCTGCCTATTCTTTTTCACCCTTCAGTCTCCGGCCTTCAGTTCAATCTAAAATTTAAAATTGAAAATCTGAGGTTGATTCAGTGGCACAGCAATAATGCTTTGCACAAGAGAAGCCAGACCCCACTTGGTGACTTAAGGTTCAAATCCCTAGCCTGGTCAGCCCAAAACAGACTGGGCATGCATGTGAGTGTCCAGGATCCAACAGACTGGAGGGCTGGAGGACAGGGATCATGGCATGACCAGGCCCTGTGGAGGATGCTCATCTCTTCACATGCATGCACTTGTGCACTATCATGAATAAAGAAAGCAAAATCTGATCAAGCACCTATCTTAACTGCTCCCAGAAGAGCTCCATTCATATGATAAAAGCTAAGTTTCTTATGTGGTAGGAAAGATTCTTTGGTGGGCCAGCCTGTGACATGGTGTTTAAGGCAGCTAGATCCCACGTTGCCAACTTTGCAGTTAGAGTCCAAGACCCACTGGTTTTAAAAACATGCTGAGGAGGGACCAGCAGTTAGCGTAATGGCTATGTCGCTGGACTCCTATGTAGTCGACCACAGTTCGAGTCCCAGACCTGGTGGCTTAAAACTCACACCAGGCGTGTGTGTGTGTGCCCAAGATCCCAAGAAGAGAGTGGAGGAGAAGGGATTGCGGCGTAGCCATCCTCCCTGGGGGGTGATTTCTCGCTTTCTGTCTCTCTGTCTGTCTGGCGAGTGCACGCGCCCTATAGCAAAAACCTCTCAAAAAAAAAAAATATATATATATCATGTTGGGGTGTGTGCATGTGTGCCCAAAATTCTGAAAGGAAAATGAAAGAGTAAAGATTGTGGCATGGACATCCCTCCGGGAGAATGATTTCTCACTTTCTCCCCTACACACACCCCCACAAGTGCATGTGCCCTATAGCAAAATTACCAAAAAAAAGAAAAAAGAAAAAATACTCTTCAGGCCAGGTGGTGGTGCAGTAATAACAACTGAACCCATAGGGCAAGACACTGAGTTTGTGTCCTGGGACCTCCCTGAGCACACAGGGCAACACATGTGCCTGTGATCCTGGGGGTGGATTGCAATATGAGGATCTCGTGTCTTTTTATTTATTTATT